TCTCTCTCTCTCTCTCTCTCTCTCTCTCTCTCTTGTTTTTAGAGACAAGGTTTCTCTGTGCAGCTTTGGTGCCTGTCCTGGATCTCACGATGTAGACCAGGCTGGCCTCGAACTCACAGAGATCTGCCTGGATCTGCCTCCAGAGTGCTGGGATCAAAGGCATGCACCACCACTGCCGGGCCATCCACCTTGTTTTTAAGACAGGGCCTCCAATTGGCCCAGAACTTGTGAGTAGGTGAGACTGGAAATACTGGGTTTACAAGCACATGCCACCACACCCAGCTGTTCTACTGTTTTTTTAATGTGGATTCTGAGGATTAAACTCAAGTCTTCATGCTTGTGTAGTATGATGGTTAGTGTTAATTGTGACCTTGACAGAATCTACAAACACCAGGAGGCAGGCCATGAAAAACGAAATTTGAACACTACCAACAAATCTCTCCTCACACGAGGAGACTAGACAAATCCTGGTTTGTTTTAAAGACTTAAGTGGTTCTTCCAGTGAGCTATTTCCTTACAGAAAGTTAATCCCCTAAGTACCGGTTAGTACCTGTGCACTAAAGGGCTGTGGTTCGTGTGATAATGTCTCATTTGGTTCATGAGAATTTAGTCACATGGCTGGAAATGTTGGCAGTTCAGGACCTGCTAGCACAAGGGGGGGAAACACAATTTTGTAATACAAATTATTGACCTGAATGCTTATTCTGGACCCCAACTCAGTCCTTATGTGTGGGCTCAGTCTTTGCAGTTCTCAGGGTTCCTGGTTCAGCAGAAGCCAAGAAAATAACTTTGGAGTAATTACAATGCTATCCAATCGCAGACTGTTTTCTTAATTGTAAATGATGGTGAGTGGTGGTCAATACTTTTATATCAAAGGAAGAAGGAGGAAGAAAGGTGGTGGAGAGATGGCCTGGCAGTTAAGAGCACTGACTGTTCTTCCAGAGGACCTGGGTTCAATTCCCAGCCATGTACATGACTGCTCACAACCATGTGTTAACTCCAGTTCCAAAGGGTTTGACATCATCTGCTGGACTCCTTGGACACTATATACACATTGTGCATAGACATACATGCAGGCAAAACACCCATATGCATAATTTTTTTTTCGAGACAGGGTTTCTCTGATGTGTAGCCCTAGCTGTCCTGGAATTCACTCTGTAGACCAGGCTGGCCTTGATCGAACTCAGAGATCTGCCTGCCTCTGCCTCCCGAGTGCTGGGATTAAAGGCGTGCGCCACCACCGCCTGGCTCCAAATACTGTTTTAAAGCTGAACAACTTTTCCCACATAAAATCCCAATACATAAAACAGATACAAGTGTAACTTCTTTTTTCGGGTTAAAGGTGGCGGGGGAGAGAACGCAGGGAAGGTGTACTTGGTTCCCCCACAGCAGCCATGGAGGGAGAGCTTCTGAGAGACTCTGAGAACACAGTTAAAAAACAATGTACTGAGAGAACTTCAGAGTACCTTCAAAATTGTATTAGTGGATGTGTCTGAGAAAAAAGTCGGTCCTAGTGAAGGAAGGCATTCTCTTCTAGCTCTACAACTTTAAGATGAGGAATTATCAGGAGACAGCCGCCCTAAGAAAGAATTCTGTGATACGAGCCACACCTGGAATTCCCCTTCTCAGAGCTTTACCTGGGGAACTGTTAATCACTTTTCTGGGTGGAGATTTAGTGAACTAGTGTTGGTCCTGACTTGATTTTCTCTCTCTCCCTCTCTCCCTTCCTCCCTCCTTCCTCCCTCCTTCCTTTCGGTTTTTGTTTTGTTTTGTTTTGTTTTGTTTTGTTTTGTTTTGTTTTGTGGCAGGGTTTCTCCTGGAATTTACTCTGTAGACCAGGCTGGCCTTGAACTCATTGAGATCCCCTTGCCTCTGCCTCCTGAGTGTTGGGATTAAAGGGGAGCACCACCACACTTGGCTTCTTCTAAATCTCTCTCTGAAGGTTCTAGCAGGTTGTGGTGCAATTCTGTAATCTCAGTCATCTAGAGGTGGAAGCGAAGCGTAAACACCAGATGTTCAAAGTCATTTTTAGCTACATTGCAAAGTCTGGGCTACCTGGCAATTTGTCCTTTAGAGTTGATCAGACCTATACAAAAGAAGCATAACTACTCTGGCATAAACCACAAATAAAACCCAGACAAAGCCGGGAGGTGGTGGCGCACGCCTTTAATCTCAGCACTCGGGAGGCAGAGGCAGGCAGATCTCTGTGAGTTCTAGGCCAGCCTGGGCTACAGAGTGAGTTCCAGGAAAGGCGCAAAGCTACACAGGGAAACTCTCGAAAAACCAAAACCAAAAGACAAACAAACAAGCGAAAAAACCAACAACCCAGACAAAAAACATACAGACGCCAGTGGTGGTGGCGCACGCCTTTAATCCCAGTACTGGGGAGGCAGAGGCAAGTGGATCTCTATGAGTTTGAGGCCAGCTGGGTCTACAGAATGAGTTCCAGGACATCCAGGATTGTTGCACAGAGAAATCCTGTCTCGAAAAACCAAACCAAACCAAACAACAACCCCCCTCAAACAAACCAAACAACCAAACAAAGAAACCAAAAACCAAAACCAAAACATATGTTCACTAAGCTTAAGAGAACAAGGAAAAGCTGTCTCTATCCAACAGTTGTTGCTGGGGATGGGAGTGGGATTCGGTGACATTTCCATTCAACAAGTAAGGAAACAGAAAATATAAAAGCAGCCCAGAAAGTAGAGTCCATGAGGGAAGAAACTTGTTGAAGTGCACGCACTTGTTGGTTACTGGCACTTTATTAATGTATTTATTATGTGCGATTAGGGCCTTTACCACTGAACTACATTCTCAGTCTTCGAATCACTTAAAAAAAAAAAGCCCTCACTTTTTTCGCTTTTACTTTCCCTGCTTCTATGAAGGGTAGGGATAACTCCCGCCATGCATCCTTTTGGGACTAAAACTTCTCAAGATCAGAATAAAGGCGCTTCCTGAGAACTTAAGCGATCGCAAAACTTTGGGCTCGCCGCTTGCCGTAGCGCGCTCATTGGTGCCCAGGTTACCGCCCCCATTCTCTAGCTTCACGTTGGCCTCCACGCATGCGCGGCGTGTGCTACGCCCCCTCCCGGGCCTAGGACGCAGGCGCGCGCACGCTCCCCGGCTGGGGTAGGCGGGGGATGGGGGAGAGCAGGAGGGAGGGGAGGAGGGAAGGTGTCTACTCTGGTGAGTAGACGGCAGTGGGACACTCCGATCGGTCGAGCCTGGCTGCCTGGTGGCGAAAACGCTGCGCCAGCATAGAGCCGGCGGCAGGGAGCGGAGCCAGTCGCCGCGGCCCTCGAGCGGCACAGTCGGGCCGCTGAGCCCCCGAGATCCGCAGGGTGCGAAGCCCCGGCCTAGGCCCCGCGGAGATGTCCAGCTGTGGCGCTTGTACCTGCGGCGCTGCGGCCGCCCGGCTGCTCACCACCTCGCTCACCTCCGCGCAGAGAGGTAACGAAATAGTCCCGCGCTGGAGCCCGTTCTGGGCTCCCGGGAAGTGGACCGGGGGGGACCCTGGGGAGGAGGGCATGAGGACTGCGAGGCGCTGCCAGCCTCGGAAGTAGCTGGCGGTCCGATGTGGAAGAAAACTCCGTGTGCTGTCGCCCGCCGGTGTGCTCTCCAGGCCTCCGGAGTTTGTGGCTGGAATGGGGCCATCTCGCCTCAACTCCGGGAGAGGGGCCGAGGGCTGCACTCGGTCGTTTAAAAAGTGACAATCGCTCAGCCCTATTCGGGCCTGTCACTTTTTGCGGGCCTCCGGGTACCCGGTTGTCCGGCTAGCCGCCTGGACTCAGGCAGCGCAACACTCGGGTGTCACTGTCATTGTGCGGTCGGCGACGCTAGAACATAAACACGGGTCTCACGGGGCTTCCAGATATTTGGAAAACTCCGGGGTCCCAGGAAAGTGGCTGGGGAGATGGGAAACGACTGCTGGAATTCTTCAAATACTCACACACAGCAACAGTCGCTCTTGGGCTCCCCCAGTTTGACAGCTGGAATCTGTTCCCAGAGTGGCTCTTGTTTACTTTGCCTCTCTCCTCATCAGGGCCTGTGACAGAGTGCACACCTGCCAGGAGATTCCGGGAAAGAAACCCGTTTTTCTTTTCCTCAAATCTATGCATCTCAGAGTGAGGCTAGGTCCTGTTAGACTTTGTGATCTTACAGACGTCTTTTCATGACGACCCTTTGGTCAATAAGAGTTATTTTCCTACATTTTTGGATTAACTATAAAATCTTCATTGCTTACCAAACGTATAATTGACAGTTTTATGATACGCATGAAATGGAGTTGTTAATGTGGGTGGGAGCCTGTTGTATGAAGTGACACGTAAGTGTAAGGTTTAGTCTTAAAAGATTGCCACACCTCAACAAGTCGATGTCCCAATTCCAGAGGCTTGATTTGTAAACACTTGAAAGGAACTAATTTTAACCCATTTACTTGGCATACATTTGTTGAGGGCTTAAGGTAGTACTGTTTGGTGTTAGATAAAATTTTCACGTTTGAGTTTGGTCAAGTAGACAACAGCATTAACAAGGGTCCTAAGTTTTGGTTGGACAGGAGGAAGTTCTTGATCTGTCAGCAGGATATTGTGGTGCACGCCTTTGATCCCAGCACTTGGGAGGCAGAGGCAAGCGGATCTCTAGAACTTGGTAGGCCAGGCTGGCCTTGAATTCAGTTCTGTGTGCTGCCTCCAAGTGCTGGGATTAAAAAGCATGTGACATCATGCCTGGCTGATTTTTATATTTTTAAATGGACTTGACATGTGGGCTGTAAAGATAGCTCAACAAATAACAGCATTTGCTGTGAGTTCAACCCTGGGACCTACAAGGTAGAAAGAGAACAGTCCTGCAAATGGTCATGAGTATACACACGTATGTATGTATGTATGTATGTATGTATGCATGTATGTATGTACATGATACAAATTTTACATGTGCTTGACATAGATGAGGTCACTTTGTATTTTAAATATGCGCATTCAGAAGTACTTGATGCCCATTTAAAATTTCTCAGTGACAGTGTTGACCCTGAATTTAGGTGAAAGAATTGTAGAATTGCATATAACTTCAGTTTCTGACTTCTTTTAATCCAATCCTTGTAGAAAGGGTGTTCTTTCAGTGTGGTGGTGGCCCACGACTTTAATCCCAGCACCCGCCTTAATCCCAGCACTCAGGGACAGAGTCTGGAGGATCTCTGAGTTTGAGGCCAGACTGCTCTGCAGAGTGAGTTCCATGACAGCCAAGGCTACACAGAGAAACCCTGTCTTGAATCACGCCCCCCCCCCCCAAGACAAAGGGTATCACTTGATAAAAATGTCTGAGTGAAGAGGTCAAACATGTTGACCATAGTTTTCATGATTAAATAGTGCACCTACCTTAATTTTTAGTCCTTTTTTCCCTCTTCCTTTCCTTCTGGTACTCAAGTTATAATAGATTAAATAGGGCAAAGTTAATAATTGATGAAACATTCTCATTTTAGCAGTTTTGCTGGGTAGACCAGGCTGCCTTGAACTCATGATTTCTTCATCTTGCCTCTGGAGTGCAGGAGTCATGGACCTTCACAAGCAAGTTTGGTTTCTCAAAAATGTTTGTTTTGATTTTTTGTACTGAGGCTTGAATCCAGGGCCTTGAGTATGCCAGGCAAGTGCATACTGTCTCTGGCCTTCAAAGCATTTAAGATCTCTTTTTTTTCTTGGCTAGCAGAATGGATTTAGTAAAAATCCATCAAATATTACAGAAATGATGTTATTTTTCCTTATTAAACAGTATTTAGAGCTTATGAAACAATAACTAGTGCATAAAATAAAAATCCCATCATAAATTAATAAATTCAGTCAGCAACCAGGTGTGGTGGTTCACGCCTTTAATCCCAGCACTCAGGAGGCAGAGGCAGGTGGATCTCTTGAGTTCCAGGCCAGCCTCGTCTACAGAGTGAGTTCCAGGACAGCCAAAGATACACAGAGAAACTCTGTGTCGGAAAAAGTAAATGCAGTAAGCACTTGGTAAGTTGCATATAAAAAATCCATATATATATATTTATATTTTATATTTATATATATTTATATTTTATTTATTTTTTTTTTTGAGATAGGGTTTCTCTGTGTAGCTTTGTATCGTTTTCCTGGAACTCACTTGGTAGCCCAGGCTGGCCTCGAACTTACAGATATCTGCCTGGCTCTGCCTCCCGAGTGCTGGGATTAAAGGCATGCGCCACCACTGCCCAGCTATTTTTTTTTTTTTTTCAATTTGTGCTAGAGGTTTGAGGCCAAACTTGTAAGAGAAGATTTAGCTTCATTTTCTACTTTACCAGTTATTACACAATTAAAGTACTGTCACTAAAATTGGTAATCACTTTTCATCTTTTTTGAGACTTTTTTTAGAGTATACTCTACTATTGCTTATTCATTCTTTCATGCTATTTAAAATGTATAGATTGGATTTTTTTTTTTTTTTAAAGCTGGATCATTTGTAAAGTTTTTAGGCTTCTTAGTTCAAAATAAAGAATCTAAAGATGATCCCAGTAATTGGGAGGTGGAGCATCTGGGATTCAAGGCCAACTTCAGCTACATAGAGTATTCACACCAGTCTGGGTTACATGAAACTCAGAAAACAATGTTAGGTATGGTGTGGGCTCATGCCTGTATACAGCCTTAGCACTTTGGAGGGCCGTCATGGTTTTTAAGCCATAGAAGAGAGTGGAATAGCATGGCTGTAGAATGAAAGCTTGTCCTAAAAAGAAAAAGAAATTAAATATGTATTAAATGTATATGTTAAGAATAATATCTAAAAGCTGAATAAATTGAGTCTGGAGATAGAGCTCTGAAGAGTACTAACTGCTCAGTTCAATTCCCAGCACCCACATGGTAGCTCCTGATGTCTGTACTCCAGTTCTAGGGACCCAGCACCCTTTGGCTTTCATAGGCACCAGGCACACATGTGTTGCATAGATTACATGTAGATAAAATCCCCATACACATTTTAAAAAATTAAAAACTGAGTTAATTACTTTCTTATGTCTTTGTTTTGAGACGAGGTTTCACTATGTAGCTAAGGATTTCCTGGAATTCACTGTCTGAGCTGTTGTCAAACTCGTGATCCTCCTGCATCAGCCTGAGTCACAGGCATACACCACAATACTTGGCCTCTCATATTTATTTCTTTTTGTTTTAGCCATAGTGGGAAATTGAACCAGGCACCTTGAACATGCCAGGCAAGCATTCTACCACCAAGTTATATGCTTGGCCCTTTAAGAATATTTGTTTTGAGACAGGGCTTCACCAAGTTCTCTAGGCTAGTCTTGAATTCACTTTGTAACCCCAACAGGCCTTGAACTTGCCATCCTCCTGCCTCAGACTCCAAAGCAGCTGGGACTAAGATCTGTGCCACTAGGTCTAGCTTCCTCCTACTTCTTAATAGCCTTAAAATGGACATTCCTATGCTATTATTTTAAAAGACAGCTGCCCTGAAACTCGCAGAGCTTTCTCTGTGGACAGATGTTCACAATGGTTTAACTTTTAACTGACTTTTGTCATTGCTGCCAAACAGTGTTTCAAAATGTACAGGAATGTTTCCCTGGCTTCCAGGGGCTTTTCACCTGAAGTTCATAGGACCTCCAGGGGTCCATAGATAGGAATCAGGTTTTCTAAGCCTTATTTCCACTAAGTTTTAACTGAAAAATAGCATTTCCTTTAATTATCAAAGTAGGCAACAAATCATAGTTTTAGAAGTATCTATGAATTTGTCACCAGTCAGAATCATACATTTTCATACTACAATTTGAGTTGGCCTGGATCTTGCTTTTGGCCTCCCTCAAAACCACGTTTCCTTAAAAAAGAATTACATTTTATTTTTGTGTGTGTGGATGTGCCTGTGTACATGTATCATGACACTGTGTTGTGGAGGACAGTTGTGGGAATGGTTCTTTCCATTCACCATGTGGGTCCCAGGGATTGAACTCAGTTTGTTAGGCTAGTCACAAATGCCTTTACCTGCTGAGCCATCTCTCTGGCCCCTGCTTTAGCCTTTTAGGTTTCAGTAATAAGTAATAAGTCTATGCCATCAAGCCTTAATTTTTTTAAATCTTCTTTAGCTTAGTATAGTGAATTTTCTTTATGTATTTTATAGTATACATTCAAAAAATCTAAAATCTGTCCAAACATTCCACCTAAGTAGGTTTTATGTTACAGAAACCAACTGAACCCTCTTATTAGTTTGCTGTAGTGCCTTATATTTTCTGTGATGTTTTTCTGATCGGTGATTGGCCTCTTTGTTTAGTACAGTTGTTTTTGAAGTGCAGTCCCAAGGCAGTAAGTAGCATTGGCAGCAGCATCAAAATCAACCTGGGACCTTGTTAGAAGGTCATTCTCGGGTCCTGCCTCCAGCCTTCTGCAGAACCTGCACTGTGTTTAACAGATCCACCAGGCAATACTGATCACACTTGAGTTTAAGTTACAGCTTGGCATCTTGTTCATGGTCATAGATTACAGCATGTTAAAATAGCACTATGGTACCATATGAAAAGTTTCAGTAAAGAAATCCTTAACTTCCGAAGTTTAAATGACACATGAATTATTTTTTCTGCTAGTGTTTTCTGTGGTGACTCTGTGTGATTGCATTGGTTTTTGTGTTTGGAAACACTGTATACTTAGACATGCAAATCCTTGATCACATGAAAATAAAATTTAAAGAATGAGTTCAGAATTTTACAAAGAATAAATTGAAGCCGGGCTGTCGTGGTGCATGCCTTTAATCCCAGCACTCAGGAGGCAGAGCCAGGCGGATCCCTGTGAGTTCCAGGCCAGCCTGGTCTACAGAGTGAGATTCAGGACAGGCACCAAAACTACACAGAGAAACCCTGTCTCAAAAAACAAACAAACAAACAAACAAACAAAAAGAATAAAATGAGAGGAAGAAAAATGTTTTCTTAAATTTAACTACTAATCTCTCCTACCACTTTTATTGTTACTTAGTACCTCCTAACAGCACTTTGGTAAACTGTTAGCAAGCCACCTTAGTGATTCACTACAGTCTGTGGTTTATGTAAGGTTCTTGTTTTGTTTTGTTTTGTTTTTCTGGGACAGGGTTTTTCTGTGTAGCTCTGGAGCCTGTCCTGGAACTCACTCTGTAGCCCAGGCTGGCCTCCAGCTCACAGAGATCCACATGCCTCTGCCTCCCGAGTGCTGGGATTAAAGGCATGCACAGTGCTCCACCACCGCCCGGCTGTAAGGTTCTTAGTAGACCCACAGTACTGAAATAGAATAGAATTTTGTTTAATCAAAGGCCAGTCACCTTTTTGTTTGTGAAGGCAGAAGGAGAGCTGACTGCACAGTTATCCTCTGGCCTCCACTGCACCCACACATGCCCTCATACATAGATACCCAGTAGTAATAAATTAAGAAAAAAAGAACCAAAAGTCAGGCATGGTGGTGCACACCTTTAATCCCAGCAATCAGAAGGCATAAGCAGGGGAAATCTCCATGAGTCAAGTCAAGGTCAGCCTGGTCTATATATTGAGTTCCAGTTCAGTTAGGGCTACATATAGAGACCTTGTCTTTAGAAGAAGAAAAAAAGAGAGAGAGAAAGAGAAGGAAAAGGTAAAAGAATACAACACAAAGAACAATATAATATCCATCAAGAGAGGAATACAAATAATACTTTAATCCCAGCACTCTGGAGGCAGAGGCAGGCAAATCTCTCTGAGTTTGAGGCCAGCCTGGTCTACAAAGTGAGTTCTAGGACAGCCAAGGCTACACAGAGAAACTTTGTCTCCGGGAAAAAAAAAAGAAATAGAATCTTGAGTCCAGGCTGGCTTCAAACTCAGTATGTAGCTGAGTGTGACCTTGGACTAATCCTCTTGCACTAAGTACTAGGATTACAAGCCTGCACTACGATTCTATCCTTGTTTTATTTATTTATTTTTTTAAGACAGGGTCTCATCCCATAGCCCAGGATAGCCTCCAGCTAGGAGTTCTCCTGCCTCTGTTTTCTGAGTGCTAGAATTACAAGCTAGAATTACAGGCATGTGCCACTTTGCCCGATTTGGGGTATGTGTGTGCATGCATGCGTGTGTACATGTGTGTGATGTGTTTCTTTTCTTTGATGCAGGGTGTTAAAGTAGCTAAAGCTGGCCTTGAACTTACTATGTGTCAGAGACGGATTAAAAGTATATACTGAATTCTCTGCTTGTCTTCACTATTTTAAAATGTATAATTCAGTAGTATTAAATACATATTAAATATTTTTAAAGTTATTGTTATTTACTTTATCTATGATGTGTGCTTGTGGGTTTATATGCCATGGCACCTCTGTGGAGGCCAGAGGACATCATTGTAGAGTCAGTTTTCTTCCTTCATCTTTATGGGGGTTCCAGGAATCAAACTCCATTCTTCAAGCTTGCACATCCAATACCTTTACCCGCTGAGCCATTTTGCCAACTGTACATTTCCAGTGTTCAACCATTGCCACCATCCATGTCTGTAACTCTTGATGTTGTAAAAATGAAACTGTCCAACCGAAACTGTCCATTCCTCCAACCCTAACAACCACCACTCTAATCGCTGTCTCAGACTTTCTACTGAGAACCTCCTGTAAGTAGGAAAGCATGTAAGTTTTAAAACAAATAACTGCCCCCGGTAACCAAAGAGGCAAGAGTTGTTAAATGCTTATTCTCAGGGGTAGAAACAGTACACAGAAAGCACAAATACAGCATATAAAGGCCCTTGTCAAAAACGTACAGGCAAAACAAGTGTTAAACGTCTGTCATGTTTTAAAAGAGCCAACATGATCTTGCTCACCTTTTTTTTCTTCTTTGAGACAGGGTTTCTCTGTGTAACAATCTTGGCAGTCCTGGAACTCATTTTGTAGACCAGGCTGGCCTCAAATGCAGGGATCCACCTGCCTCTGCCTCCCGAATGCTGAGATTAAAGGCTTGTATCACCACCGGTCATCTGATCTTGCTCACTTTTAAATGATTGATCTGAAAAGAATGTATCTTGCTGGAATCATTCAGAGTCCTGGCTTGTTTGTGAAAGGCCTTTGACTCTGACAGTGTTACTTTTTTTCCCCTTGGTGTGTAGCTTTGCTGTCAAAGTTAGCATTTTTCAACCCTCTTTTGTTCAATTTTTATTTGCCGGGACTTTAAGACTTATTTTTATGTTGTGTGTAAGTGTTTTACTTGCATGTATGTATGTGTGCTATACATGTGTCTGGTGCCTGCGGAGGACAGAAGAGGTCATTGGAACTCCTGGAAATGGAGTTACAGGTGGTTGTAAGCCTCCGTGTAGGTGTTGGGAATCAGACCTAGGTCCTCTGAGAGCGGAGGCACTGAGCATTCTCTCCACTTCCTACTGGGAATTTATTGAGACATACCAGTGTTTGGTATAGAAAACTAATAGATTTCTTCTCCCTCCAGGTATTTCTTGTGGGCGCATTCATGTGCCCATTTTAGGAAGACTGGGGACCGTGGACACTCAGATTCTGCGCAGGGCTCCTCTCAGAACCTTTTCAGAAACACCAGCGTACTTTGCCTCAAAAGATGGGGCAAACAAAGACGGCTCCGGAGATGGAAATAAGGTTATCTTTGTCTTTATTGGCATCTATACATTTCCTACCTTTAAAGAACTAAATATAACAGTAGTGTTGCATGTTAGCTTAAATGTGTTCTGTAGGAAATATGAATTATGTAAAACAATCTGAACTATAAATTGCATAAAAGTTTGATTTGATCTTATCTTGTATTTTATTGTTAGTTGTGGTTTTTTGAGGCAGTGCTTATATGATTTAGACTGTTCTGCAACTCACTGTAACCCAGGCAGGCCTGGAATGCGATCATTCCACGTCAGCTTCCTAGGTGGTCGCCCCGTCCAGCTTGTTCAGTGCCTACTTTGTGCTATACAATACTTGTGTAAGTAAAGTTCTAACACCCCAAAGCAGTAAAGTGTTGTTAAATAACCACATAGTAGGACCGAGTGGGAAGTGGCCATTTCCTGCTTTCCTACACAACTCTAACTTATGTAAGAAAGTCCACCCTTCACTTGATGGGCTTTACGGAGAGATGGCTCAGTGGTTAGAGGGCTGAGCTTCAGTTCCACCACCGAGCAGCAGCTCACAACTGCCTAACTTTGGTCTCGGGATCTAATGCCCTCTTCTGGCCTCCACAGGCACTGCACACGTGTTGTGTGCAGACATACACAGGCAAAAACCCCATATATTTACATAAAATTACATACATTTACATAAAATGTAAAGATGAAAAACCAGGCCTCCGTTTGTCCTCTATCTAAAACCTTCGACTTCTCCATTTGCTGTCCTGCTGTACTGTAACTGGCAAGTGGATGATTAGTGGTTTACTGAGATTATGTTACTATTTTTCAATGTGTGAATTCAACTGTACCTGAACTATTATATATATAGATAAAGTTCTAGGCATTTTCATTTCCATACATAATCCTGGCAATGACTCTGTATTAGGTAAAATTTTTCCATTTTAAATGAGATTTGTGAAAGTTACTTAGAATAGTTAAGGTTTGATCGTAGCGCAGACTTGGGAGTAGGTAACATGGTTGTTTTAAATGAGATGGAAAAGTTCTTTATCAGAATAACCAGTCTGGTGGCTTGTGCCTATAATCTCAGTAGGTTGGGGCTAGAGAATTGCCGTTATATTTCAGGCCAGCCTGGGCTACAGAGCCAAAAAAATGAGTGTTAAAAGTTTCTTCCTGTCATGATAAATAACTCTTAATTGGTTTCATCAAAGAGATTACTTTACATAGAATAACATTCTTTCCTTGTACTTACAGAGTCTTTGAAAGAAAGCTATTTAATATTCATGTTACTATAGATTCTATTTTTAAAAGATGGTTTTCAGATAACTGCATGTGCTAAGCTGGAACTGATTGGATTTTTGTGGTAGATCTTTTGACACCAGTGGTAGTAGATACAAACTACTATTACTAAGTCCAGCCTGGAAATTATAAGAGTGATGCAAATTACTGTGTATCGTTAAGCTGCCTCTAAAATGGTATCTGATGCCAATGACTGACTGTCATTCTCTCTTCTGTGGACATTAGAAATCAGTGAGTGAAGGAAGCAGTAAGAAATCAGGCTCTGGGAATTCTGGGAAAGGAGGAAACCAGCTTCGCTGTCCGAAGTGTGGCGACTTGTGCACACATGTAGAGACCTTTGTGTGTAAGTATTTGAATTTTCTTTCCCCTCCCTTTTTCTGTAACCAGTTGAATGTTTAGAAATGAGAAACCAGAATTATTTTCACCCTGAACTTGAGTGATTCTGAGTGTTCTAAAAACACTGAACATCCCTAGGATGTCAGTCAGTAGGACTTGGCACTGTGTAAGACATAAAATATTCACTTGTTTAATTTGCTTCAAAATGTTCATTTCAGACTTGGATTTTGTAAGTTTTCATATGTGTATTCATTGGGTTTTAGAAAAACCAAAACTTGCCCCCTACCCAAAAAAAGAAAAATCAAAACTTATTTATACTATATTGCTACACTTTTCAAATACTTAGTAAGTATCTCATATGCTGGGAAGATCAGTCATTCATGTGTTAAGATAATTTCTTCTCTGGGTACTGATGTACCGGAAGAGATAATCCCTCAATTTTAGGCAATGTTTGATTACTAATGATTCAGACACTAAAAGAAGAAATCAATTGTCCTACTTCTGGTAGTGCCCTGAACTATAAGAGCAAAGTGCATTATATCTAGTGACTCATTGCCTATACGCTTCAGCTAATTACAGTCAAGGGAAAATTACACTGCATCACATGTTAGCCTTCCTATGTGTCATTGTCAGAGGTTTCTTTCCTTGTTTTTCTTCTCCCTCTTCCTTCCCCCTTCCTTCATTCTTCTCTTTTCTTCTCTTTCCTTCTTTCCCCATGCTTTGAGACCATCTTGCTGTGTAGCCACTTGAACTCCACGCTCTCATCATCCTCCAAAGTATAGGGTTACAGTCACGCCTCACTGTACATTTTAGCTCTAATAGCAATACTTTAGTTGCATTTTCATATTTACCATAATATTAATTGAGTATCATGTGAAAGTACTACACATGGCTTTTTTTTTTTTTTTTCCAAGACAGGGTTTCTCTGTGTAGTTTTGGTGCCTGTCCTGGATCTCTGTAGACCAGGCTGGCCTTGAACTCACAGAGATCCACCTGGTTCTGCCTCGGGATCAAAGGCATGCGCCACCACTGCCTGGCCCATATGGCATATTTTTATAGTTTTGGGAAGACTTTTTTTTTTTTTGAGACAGTGCCTACATAGCTCTGGCTGTCCTGGAACTCACTCTATAGACCTGGCTATTCTCAGGCTTAGAGATCACCTGCCTCTGCCTCCTGAGGGCTAGGATTAAAGGTGTGCACCACCACCACCACCACCACCACCACCACCACCACCACCACCACCACCACACCCCGCTGCTTATATAATAATTTTAAAGTAGCTTTATTGAACGGTTTGAATATGAAGATATTGTTCATGGATCTAACTGGTAAAAGAGAGAATCAACCTGAATAAAGTTTAATTTGGATCACAATATAGAGTGAAAGTGGTGGAAGTGAATGATGAAATTTTCTAGATACATTTGACACATACACAATAAGGTTCTAGAGTCTGGGAATTGCCGTCCTTCACTTTGTAAGAACACTGCCCTGAGGACTCACTGTGTGGTTCTTCTAATCTGTGTTCACTTTGTAAGAGCACTGCCCTGAGGACTCACTGTGTTGTTCTAATCTGTGTTCACTTTGTAAGAGCACTGCCCTGAGGAC